GGCGAACGTGAAAACCGAAATACGGCATTATCAAGCGAATTTTGGGGATCTAACATCCCCAACACTTTTTGATCGGAATTCGATAAAGCTCATTTTGGTTGAATGTTCATAGTTTTATTACTCCAATTTCTGGTTGTCGATATTTCCTGTCATTTTTGTCGACAATAAATGAAATTCTCACGAGTCTTATTTGTCAACCTGAAGTCAATTAATCGACTGAAAATTGGTCCGGAAAAAGTTCTAACAATATCTTTATATGGTTTGTTTTAAAAATGGATAGGTTACTTCTCCACTATCCAAATCGGCAAGTGAAATTAACGATTATGCTGACTTCAGTGATTCGCATGCAGTATTGAGCTGAGTCTAAACGGACTGTAAATAAAGTGGTCGCAACTGAATTGAAGAAGTAATTTTAGTCTGAATATTTCTTGACTGAAATTGATCGTATGTTGGTAAAAGCAGACAAAATGCAAAAGTAAGAAGAGTCAGATAAGCTGAATCAAACCTCAAACTCGCTTAAGGTATGTATATCTATTTTGAAAAATCTTACCACAGACTATACAAAAATTGATGAAAACCTATGGGTAATACTTTCCACAATGGAAAATGTAGATCGATATTGGAGATCGGAATGTTCGGAACAAAATAAACAAGATGACTGACGTTAGAATTGACAGACTTCTGATGTCATGTGATGATGTTAGGGATTAAGCGATAGTTCGTAATCGGTCATTCTTACTGTGAGAAGGTGATAACTCACCTTCACGCTGGACGGAAAAATGGTGCCGAAACCAATTTTCTGGCTGGTCGATATGTTAGTTAGTAAGTAACCTGCTCCCTAAATAACTGTTCAGTCGATTCTGTTTTTGAAACTATTGACCTACATTAAACTTGACAAGCAAAAATGTGACATAAAACATTCACATTTTTATATATATCAATGGATCTATAGAGTTGGCGAAGAGAACTGATCATAATTAATTTAAAACTATACTGGGAAATGTTAAATACGGAAATAATATTGAATTGCTTTTGATAAACAGAAGAAGAAGGCTGCAATAAGGCAAAGGATATTTTGTCTATCCCGTAATAGGACTAGAGGATAATTTCGAGAATTTGAAGCCGACCTGCCAAGTTCTTCGAAAAATGTAGACAGAGTGCAACTTATCACAAGACATGAGATATTGCAAAGGAAGGGATGTTGCTAAGTGAAACTGTTACACAAACCTAAAAAGCGCAAAACCATGGTTTCTTCAAGCTGTCTAGCTTAAATGGGTATAGATTATTGAAGAAACCACGATAAGGTGATTGAAGCCAGAATTCTTTGATTCACTAAACTTTAATAAAAATCAAGTGCTGGAATATAATTATAGCAGCGAATCAACTGTTATTAAATATTATTATAATTATTCAAAAGAAGTGATATATATCGAATACAACCTATATTTTCTGATACAGGGTAGGGTATACATACAGTCAATGTGACATCACATATTATCTATCTAGTCAGAGTAAGAGGTACACTGTAAACATTCCCATTTAATGATATTGTACTTTTTCTGCAGATTATAAAACTGCACGGCGATCGAATAAAATATGAACAAATATGTTGTTGATATCAGAACAGCATACAACATATATTTCGACGGAAGCATCTTTTGAGAATATTCCATTTTCAGTTGTTGGCCGATAAACAGGAGAAACTGGTAAAAATTTTGAATAAATAGGAAAATGCGCAAATTATTACAGTAAACAAGAAATATGGTTCTGCTTAATGAAGTTCTAACAGATAATCTTCACATGTGACTCAACATGTATCTTTGCAGAGGTCGAACAACTAGAATTTCAGTGTTTTCAGTCACTGGGTCAGTCATTTTACAACTATAATTGTATACTGTGGCACTCCCAAATGCTCTACTTATTAGGTTCACTTACATTTTACTCAAGAGTTATCTTTCATGACTATTATGATTATTCCCTGTTCCCAGTTATCAAAAATGTTGCAATAAGCTTTATCTGTTGTAAACATAATGTGAATTGGAATAGATTTCAGAATTATTTCAAACAAACTTCTATTATAAATTTCCTGTAACAGGTCTACTGATATTTGTGAAATCAAAAGTATGAGAAATTCAATCAATCGCTCGTCATTTGACAACTTCATGATGAACGACAGCATAAAAATCTTACTTTTTTCTGATGTTGTTCAATCATAACAAGACTTACTTTTTTATCATGTTTAACTTACTGGTAGAACTGACAAGAGAAAAAAGGCTCCCATCACATTAAGTGCGACCTAACAAAAAGAGGAAAAAATTATATGAAATATATAATCAAGCTACGGATTATTATCAGTGATTTCCCGTTTACAATTAAATATGCTTAATTTCCGCATTAGTGTCTATTCTCACAAAAACAGTGTAGTTTTAAGATCAACTGACAAGTGTTTGCATGAAAAATAAACTTCAGTTGAAATATACGTAGTGGTGATATATACTTCAAACTTCACAGAATGTGCTTTCAACTACAAATCAAGATACACTAATCCTTAAAGAGAATATTTATCAGAGCGGAGGTCAAATTGTCACTTTAACTCGAAAAATATTCAATAAGCCATCAGTTATATCCACTGATACCAATCCAACATAATAAACACATCAAACAATCAAATCTTTTTTTCAATGAATTCTAAGATTGACCGATATAGTGTAATACAACAATCGTATGCTCATTCACACTACAAATAAAATATGACACAATAATTCAGTTGACGATCGATAATTCAATGAAATTTATGTTAAAATTATTCCACGACTGGTAAATAAATGTGAAAACATTGTATTCACTCATCTCAACACGGTTATGGGTCAACTGACGACGATGACTTGAGACAACATTACAGATTATCGTTTATCAATATCATTTAATTAAAATTGTGTTTTGCGAATGAAGTTCGAAGAAAAAATAATTAAAACGTACATTTATTTCGAACACACACAATGTAATCGATATTATTAATCCCACTGCGATGAAACTGATCAAAAGAGCAAGTAACCAATACGGAGAAATTTTGGCTTTGATTAACATCCCGAGTAATATCATTGGAATTGAAATTAATGAAGCGACAACAAAGGATACGATTATGAATGGGAGTGTGATTCTTAGTATTGATGGGATAAATGTGTAACACAATAACAATATCTAATATTTCAGTAAAAAGAAGAAGAAAGCAGGTTCAGTAGTGGAAAAATTAGAATTCATCAATAAAACAGTTTCAAAGAAAACATTTTGAATATCATTACTGTTAACTATTGATTACACTGAGAGATTTTCGATTGAAATTACTTTTGACAAAACACGGCCGCACGTTTTACAACAACAGATATATCAGCACTGTGAGAGTTCACGAACTGGAATTCTCACACTTATGGTAGTTTGTAGCATGTGGAGATGGCATGATAACTTACTTCGTAAACAGTTTTTGATACTATCTGTATTTATTTTGTTACTTTTTACAGCTTGTCCATTCACTATGAAATTGTTGCACATTTTGTTTATCTGTGTGACCTTGAATACAACAGGCGCACTTATCTCTCGCTGCTTTCATTTTCCGTCCACTGTACACTAGCACGGCACTCGCCACTATACAATATCAAATACACTTTATACATACCATTGAAGTTCTCATCTGCTTATTTGAGATATTATTCTTAACCATTTATACGTATGTTAGCTACTTTATAGACTGCAGTCACATACACATATTGACCTTTGGAATATCATAGCAAATGGATTATTAAATATCAAAAACTGTTTACAAAATAAGTTTGTCATGCCATCTCCACAAGCAATATATAGATAATTTACCTTAAACAAAAGCTATCTAGTCCGATAAAGTAAAGCGCTTAACAGGAATGAGCTATTTGATAGTGAAATAATTTAAACTTCATGAAGAATTCAACGCTTACTGAAAGTTATATATGGATTAAAACAGCGTCTTTAAATCGTCCTAAAGAGATTATTTCAGTCAAATATCGAATATCACTTATTGCTTCACAATACATATGAGCAGGGAATATTTCGAATGCACACACTTCATGCAATATTAAACAGATAGATAAAACTTACATTTAAAAACAGGAAGATATAATTCAATGGGAAACGTGCACGCATACCACGTACAGTGACCATTAGAAGTGAGAATATTATGGAACTTGGTCTGAGTTTAACATTTAAACAAAATGGTATTTTGTAGTCATTATTTTTATTCAGCAAATAACAAGTTATTCACATAACAAATGAACCATTCAATTAATCTATTCAGTGTCGTCATTATTGATCTACCAAATGAATTACATGAATGATCAAAATCAATAAATAAACTCGTTTCTTCAATCGTTATCATAACTAACATTTGTGTATGGATAATTTTATATAAATTGTGGATTGTCAATTAATAAAAACCTTATATTTGTGGATTTTCCAAAAACGAATAAAGGTGAATATCTAAAGCTTACAATGCATTTCTAAATCTTACATCACTCATTAGGAAAGAACAACCAATTCTTCATTTACCTTAGACCTTATATTCAAGATACTATCTTGATTCTGTTCACATTTCACATTACTATCGTACAAATTCCACACTTCCATGTTACAAATGTCCAGCACTTCACAGCTACTACCATGTAAGCTAATAGAAATGTTCACTTCGTGATCAGCAGTCGTAAAAATACTCTTTTGTCAGTATAACTGTTTATGTGACCATAACCGGAATATGATTAAAGCGCATGAGCATGGTTTTCTCAAATATAATTATTAAGCTGTTACGAATCACACAGTGAATCGCTTATTTGAAATGTCTATTTCAATTGTAAGAAATACCTAATTATTTTCAACGACTTACATTAAACCTATCAAATACCATTTGTATTTATTCATTTCCTTGCAAGATTCGCAACTGAAATAAGATTCATTGAGTAAGTACAAGTGAAACTTACAATTTACAAATGAGTATTGTAGTGATCATAATTTCAATTATATATGCACCAATAAGTATCCAAAACTGAAAGTTTTATTCAACCATTCAATCGATTTCATATAAACATTTACTTTTTTCAAGTCTATACCAACTGGTAATTTCCAAATAGAATGAACATTGGAATGTTGAATTTGTTTGTATTGCATTCTGTAGAATTGATTCGATAATCCATACCTACATAATAAAAAGAATATCAGTTAAACAAGATTCGTTAAATTTGGAATATATACAATCACACAGATGAACATAAGCTTTCTGAGAACACTTATTATATATAGTTGAATAATGTACTTGTAATGATTGTAGGGTGAAAAATATTTCCAAACCTATGCTCATTGATTAGTTGCTCCTGAAGGTATGCACAAGAGTTGTGAGATTCATAGACGTGTAAATGTCAGGTAATTTACCTCAAATTATTTTCGAAAATATTTTACACAAAACAAATTAAGCTCAATGATGGATTGTTATTATTACTAACATTTTGTAACTCACTTTGTTTACCAATAATATTTGTAATTTCAAGTGGTTACTTGTACTATGTTCTTCTCTAAAATGATAAAGTTGATACAGAAGTGAATAATTACAGAGATCAGAATATAAAGTCCATTCTTTACAAATGAAATTAGACTGTTTCATTGTTTTTGAAAATATATTTATAATGATTGTGTTCATCTTTGCAAAGTCATGAAGCATAATAACTTTTAGATACCGATTTTTTTGAATTTTTTCAATGGACATCTCGGTAATTTTATTGATGTTGTCGAAGTATGTTATAGTTTAACAGCATGGAGTGATTTATTTCGTCAAATGTTGGAATCCAAGTAGCAACAGACATTCATTTCCACAGTGAGACTCCTCAGCAGTGTAAATATGACAAAACTTTGAATCGACATCAGAACCTTCATATCTAGCGGTGTAAAAAACTATACTTAGAAAAAATGTATAAAGCTTGCGTAATCCTGTTAAATAATAAAATCCAAACTCGTTGAAAATTGGATATTATTATATACAGGTTAAGAATAAGCATGATTAAGATTCAGATACACTAGAAGGAAATCGAAACGGGCAACAAACAAGTAATTCAACAATTATTTTCAAATCCTTTCATTTGTGTCATGATATCTTGAATAAAGTATTACATAACGACCGTCACAACCGTCATACTTTGAGGTGTAAGAAAAATATTACTAAGGAAAATGTGTCAGGGTTGTGCAATTTCAATACAAATAAACATGTAAATCACTGTATTGCATTTTAGTAATTTACAGGTCGAGTGTTAGGCTCAACACCCGTGGACCCTAGGTTCGTAATACCTCTCTTCAAGATGCAAAATATAGAAATTGAACTTTTCTCCCGGTTAAGCAGTACTGTTGGAAATACTTCCTGATACAAATGGTAATGCGACAACTCTATAGTTTTCACACATACTGAGATCTCCTTACTTTAGAATATTGATGAGGCATTTTTCTTTTCAGTCGGTCAGTAGTTACGTTTCCTCAATAATTTTACGTCTGAAAGCAAGACCAACTTTGTAGTTGCTTTTATTTCTGACCGTTGATTTTAGTGGGTCCAGCCTGCTCACAAGCTCTTTGAAGCACTCTATCTACCGGCTTCACTGTTCTTGGATAACAGTGACAGGTTTGCCTTCCTTGTTCATAAGTAGTCATCCTGGATTTCGAAAGTGCATTTTTGTATACTCAATACTTCGGACAGTCAGTAATACTTTTACGCCTAATTATTTAGAGATATCATACATTTGAGTAAAAATACTGGTCCCTCAGTATATTTGTGATTTTCTGCTTCACAAGACCACCATCTGTTTAAGTGTGGACATTTGATTACCTGCTTGGTACAACTGAATTCCCAGGTGACTATAACCAAAGGGGTCTTCGGACAAATAAATGAGTGCCCAAATAACTTCAACGCACAAACAGTAAAGAAATCAAAATTATAACCAATATTCATGTGTAAATTAATTTTTGCATACGTTTGTGGGAGCAAAAACATCGAACAGTAATTTATGCATCATACATAAAATTTAAGACAAACCACTATTGTAGTCATATTTGATGGCAGAATTAGAGTTTAAAGTATAACAGTTTAGGAGGATGTCACAATTAGGAGCGGATTGAGGTGATGAAATATTTATTCATAGGGGTCATATTCGTGTGGTAAAGATGAAATGAAAATGAAAATGCAGTTGCTTCAGTTGGTGCAAGGAAATATTTTATGATTTTAATTGGACTTTAAGTATCGGCGTAAGCAAAATTTTCTCGGTTCTGTTGTTCTCATTCTTCATCCATTATTGTTGACTTTTATTCTGTGATTATCTGAATGCTCATTTTGGCTATATCTCCCTCAAGTATAATTCTCGGTTCTGAATTTGCTCAAGACGTATTCGATTCCAATATCCAATATCCAATATCTTTTTCACGAGCTAGTGTAAACCAATTTGATTTCTTCGCGCTCGATTCTTGTTCTTTCGGTACGGTTTCAGCTGTTCCGTAATGTCCAATGGATGGAGGTCTAGCCACTCGACTGTCTAATTCTAGTCAGTTGACAGTTGGTTGTGAGTATGTATGTCTCGGGATTTGAATGAAACGTTTGTTTCAGGGCAGTAGGGTTTCTGGATACTAGCAGCCGTCACATTACCAAACCGGAGAAGAGTTAGTTGCAATGTGGAGAGTAATAAGTTGATAAAATGTATCCATTTCAATGAACTTGATTCATCCGTAAAACCATATCGATCTTCTTATTACCGCCATCTCGTACATGTGGCTTGCCTTGTCACCATGTAAAAAAATGGAATTGAAGATTCATTTCATAGCTACTTGATCATTAATCACTGGATTCGGATGGAAGGCAACTAAATAGGTGAGCCCTTCTTCGAATTTAACACTAGCCACTAAAAGCATGCCGATAATAATCTCCAGAATATTGAAAAGTTAAGTCGAGCCATCTACTCATTTTGTGCAATCAATCCGTACAACTACCGGATAAGTTTAAGAAGATTGTAATCGACGACAAAAACTGATAATGTCCTTCGAAGTAGTGATGTAAAGACCAAAAGTCTCGATTCTACTAGTGGTGATGCCCGAAAAAAAGCGTTTGTTATGTAGACGAAATATTTGTCATGACCAAAAGGGTCGTGCTGGAAAGCACTTACAGACTGACTATCCAAGTCTTCGATGACACAGAATTAACAGTGATAACAGTATTGAGTGATAAGCAACCATTCTACAATGTACTCGTCATAAGAGCCGATACATCAAGCCCTGAGACTTGGATATTTCAGAAATCAATACACACAGATCAAGAACTCTTCAAGTCCAGCATGAAACATGCTTCACTCCAACCACTGTTCTGCCAAAACCTCTTCTGATCAGATTTGAAAGATTCACTCCCGACTGGCATGGACTTTCGACCTGTCCACATGCTAGGCACTTTGAAAGAGGCGATCACTCCACGTCTTCACAGAGGCAGGGCTGTTTGCTTTTAGATGCTTGATTTTGATATTTTTAACACAATATCAAGAGAAATTGTTGCTCGTTCCTTGGTTAATCACGTGCAGTTACTAGACTACATGCGATCCACCATCAGTAAGAATTTGACACTAGTTTCAGTTGACAACTGTGAAACTTATTTGAAACCTAATGCTACTAACTTCTTGTATCAGCTTCGTACTACGTTTTTTATTTCATATTGTTGTTGTTTTCGTTCTTTAACAAAGGTGGGTGCATTTTATGTTCTTTATGGGTCAGTGGCTCACCTTTTAGCTTTCAGATAGTTTAATGCTTATCTCTTCATGCTACCTCAGTACGCTGAGTCTTTTCAGGGTAGATGCAAACTTACAGAGGGTTGAAATATTCGACTGATTGTGAGGCTTTTAGCCTTTCATTTTATGTCCCCGTTCATTCTCTTGGAATCCTAATGAAGGTAAACTTTAGTTTCGTTGTTGAGTAAATTTCCGAATATGCGTGCTATTCGCGACGTTTCTGCTCAGTGGAGAGGTGAACTCAGTGTTAGCGTTGGAGATTATCTCACAGTGACAAGTCTAAATGTCGTATCAGGATAATGCATGTCGTAAATGCATTTAAAACAGAAAGTCTCGTCGTTCCAGAATCCGTGGAGATTATAGAGTTCGGAAAACCCTCGCAGTCATGCGCAATACCGTGCCGTCTGATAGTTTAGAGGCATAATAATTGAGGACGAACTCGTGGACGGCAGTTATTTAATCACCAGGCATAGACCTCATAGCGTAGGCATATTTTTACCTCTGACTCGGGATGCGGCGGATCTCGTAATGAGTATCTAGAGCCGCGAGCCAGGGATCTGGCAATAAGGAAGACACGTGAATAGTTGTAAACATGTACCTCGGAATCTATTACATTATCAGAAATTTCATGACTATCCACCATTTCAGGATGTCTTTGCAAGTATAATATAATTTACGAGACATTACATAAATAGGAGCAACCAAAGATGCAAATTAATAAATAGCAGACTCATTAGAATCGATATTCTTCGTGATAAAACGCAGGCCTCAGCAAAGGTGATGTTTCCTGTCGTGAATAAATAACAGGGAAAAAAGGATAGTCCAGATGAACGTTATATTTGCTGGCATTTCATGGTATCGAAAGAATACCGAAATTGTACCAAAATAAGCAGGCAAAATTAACAGAGCAGCAAAAAGCGAGATTACGACTGCGCAACGGGAAAATGCTGTACAAAAGTGGGAATAAATGAGAAGTTCAGTAAAACATCCACTGATACGGTTGGTTATATTAAGGCTGTTTCTATTTAACCAATTGCGTCTTCTTCGTAAATGTGAAGTCGCTATACTGCTTTGATCAGCCGCTCCCTTCCCAGTTGCTTCAAACGCAATATACATGCATTCAATTACTTGCAAACAAAAGATTCACGAAAAAAGTACAGGATAACTGCGAGGTCATCGGCTTGGACAGCCAAACACATGTTTATTCTTGGGAACTATATGATCTATCTCCAATATTCAATGTCTTTGT